ACAAGCAGGCGTGGCCCGCCGTGGGCCTCAGGGCAGCCCCGTGCCCTCCTGCCCCCCTCAGGCAGCTCGCCTCTTCCAGACCCGAGTTCTCAGGCCGGGGGCGACACTGGGAATAGCGCCGCCCGCCAAAGCCAGAGGCGCTCGCTGGGAAGCCGTGGTGGCCTGGCAGCGGACACAGTTCTCACCCTTCCCCTCCCTTCTTTGTGACTCCGATGGCCGGGTGGGACCGTGCGGAACCAACCCCAGAGTCCCTCAGGCCCCCAGCCTGACCCCTGAAGCAGGAGCCACACGGGCCAGGAGGGCAGCCCGCTGCAGGGCGGAGCAGGCAGCGGGGGCGGCTGGACCAGAGAGGGGGACGGACGGCTCCTCCGGCCCCGCTCCTCAGCGCCCGGCCGATGCTTCCAGACACAGAGAAGCAAAGGCAGATGTGCTGCTCGTGAGCAGGTTACATTTAAAACTACTCGAGGATGTGCAATGAGGCCGCAAAACACCGATTCCAGCCCAGTCTTCAGCAGGAGACAGGCGGTGAGGGCGGAGGGCCCGCCAGACTGGCCAGTGGACAGTGCTGAGCCGGAGACACCACCCACGACAGGGACACAGGGCGGACAGTGACTGCCCCTTGGACGCTCCTCACCCCCGACCGCCCGGGGCGCAGGGGCGGAGAGAGCTGTGACCCCAGGAGCTCCAGCAGGGTGGGCGTGAGAGAGACGCCGAGAGAGACGCCCGCCGCCCAGTGCCCCGCAGCCCAGCCGGCCCCGCTGTGGTCACCCCTGACTCAGAGCACAGGCTCCTCCGGACACCGGAAGCCCCCGGCAGGGGCTTCAGAGGAACCAAGACGGGCAGCGGCAGTCAGAGCAGCCGCACACCAGCCCGGAGGTGGTGCCTGAGGTTGGAGGGCCCAGTTGCTGAGCCGTTAATTGCTGCGGGAAGTCTTTGTTACCGGGGGCACGTCAGGAGGCTGGAGAACAAGGGATCCAGTCTGAGTCGGAAAAGGAAGTGGGAGAGGCTGGAGCCGCGGTGAGCGCCTAACGTCTATATTAGGAAATGAGTCTGAGATGATACTTATGGATGAGCTTAATGATACATCTGAAGTACAAGTTAATAGGAGTGAGTCAGCACGGATTCACCAAGGCAGTCTGTCACGAGGAATTTCATGCCTTTTTAGGTTGAAGTAATAATTGGTTTATTATAAGGGGGAACCAATGAGAAACTGTCAGGATTTTCTGGGATTTTTGGACCTTTTCACAAAGCGAATTATTCAGAATGTCACAACCGGTGTCAGCGCATCCAAGTAACAAAGGGGTGCAAGTCCCAGGGTTAAAAATAGGGACAGAGGCCAAGGAATCAAGGAGAGACCACCCCCTCCTCGGCCTGTGCATCAGAATACTGAAGTTTTTAACTAGTGATGGAGAAAATGTTTTATACCAGGACATTTGAACATGCTGCTAACTCAGCGGGGACGGTCAGACGCAGGGGGCCGGGGAGAGGCATCATCTGCACCGCGCAGGTGAGCTGGTGGGCGCGCAGGTGGAAAGAGAGGCTCCACCCACCTGAGTGTGAGCTGAGTCGCTGGACAGAAGGGGTCAGTGAAGTGTAGTTTACATCACACTGCATCCGTTGCCATTAGAAAGAAAAAGGATTTGGAGGTTAGATAAGAGTCAGACTTTCCCATTTTTATTCTTGTAAGCAAGAGAAAAATGCTATGGAAGATGGTTAAATGCCATTAAATAATACGTTATAAACACTTAAAAAGTTGATTATCTCAGAGAATGTCAGGGTATCACAGCCTCATTGGCTGTCATGCCGTTCAGGTCATAATCTAGTGCATGTTTTTAAATGATTAAGCCTTAACGTGTAAGAACTGACGAAAATCATATTAATTTAAGTGATCAGAAAAACTATGACCGCAGAAAAGTAACGGAAACTCGGGAAATACCATGCCATCACTCACTGCCTGAGTGCCCCTAAGAGAAAACGAGACCGGATCGCCACTGTAGGAGAGGCGTCACCTTCGCTGCACCGGAGGCCCCGGCTGCTGCGCGGAAGCCCTGAAACCCCTCGGCCACCCCCGGGTCCCACCCGCCCGGGGCCCCACTCTCGGAGAGGGGGCGCAGCCCCCCTGGCAGGGAGCTGACCTCCACAGACACGTGTTTCTGAGCTGCGGAGGCGCAGCTCGAGGTCTGGCACTCGGCATTCTGGAGAAAAGCTCGCTTCAGTGGGCCACGCAGAGCCTCGCACGCTCCCGTCGGTCTCCCCTTGACCTTCTCCGACCTCGCCCGCCCGCCCTCGGCTCAGGTGTACGGCACCTGGGACGGAACCACGCGGGGCCAACCGAAGGTGGCTTGTGCTGCAAACACAAAAGCGCACGTAATTCTACCTCGAGCGAGCGCTGAGCGGAGGACCCCTGGGTAACGGAGACGGCAGAACTGCGTCACTAAAACCGTGAGGATCAAATGAAGACCACCTTCGATGTGAAACGGACTCCACAAAGCTAAGGGGAAAAGTCGGTGCACAGCGACAAAGACTTCTGGCCACTCCGGACTGACGTCTATTTGTGGGGACTCACGCGATGGTCAAGCAACACCCTACCGGAGCTACAACAGACCTCAATGAGCCTCCTTAGAAATCGGGGGCGGGGGGGGCGGGGTTTGGCTAATGGAAGCCTGTTTTTTATTTTTTAAAGTATACACAGGAAAGTGCACAACCCGTGAGGAGCCCGTCCCGAGGCCAGGAACAGAGAGCGTCAGGACGGCCGGCCCCACACGGGGACGGCTGCGGGGTGACCCACCCCCACCGGGTCTGTTCCACCCTCAGCCGCAGCACAGCCAGGGGACACGCCCTCTGTGTGGGCGCAGTCCCCACGGCCGCCCGCCTCGCCGCTGCGGAGGGACCCGCTCCAGCAGGCACGTTGGGCCTTCCCCGTCCCGCTTGGTGGGCACGGGAGTGGTTCCGGGTTTTGGCTGCGACGCATCTACCCAGAACCGCGTGGAGCGTGAGTCCACTGAAGCGCACGGCTGCTTTGTGAGCAAGAGCACAGCCGTCACGGCAGCCGGAGGCGGAGGGCAGCGGCGGAGGAGCTGGTGGGGCCGCACCCACGCGAGCACCGGACGGGGGGTGGGGGGGCTGGGGGACAAGTGTGGGGACGGGACACTCCCTAATTATTCCAGGCCCGCACACCGCCTCGCCCCAGGGGCGCGTGCGCAGAGCACCCCGAGGTGCGAGCACCTGTGGTCTGTCTTCAGAACTCGAGCAGCCCAAGTCTCGAAACGGAAAAGGCAGAGCGGCCAGTCGGAGGTCCCAGTGGACGGCATCAGCACGCCCCTCGGGTGGGCAGGGGGCGGCGCGCCCGGAGTCAGGGAGAACACAGACCGTGCGCACGGCACAGCTCGCGCACGTGGCCCGAGTGGCGGGGACACGGGCCAGGCAGCCAACCAGACCGTGGCTCCCACGGCTCTCGGTTTAAACTGAAGTAATTCAGACTATGCTATGTCAGCACAGAGCACACGAGCTAAAAATTAATTTATATTACTATTTCAGTAACTAACAAAAGGATTACTAGAAAATCCCCAAATGCCTGAAAAGTGATCACTCCAGTTTCTAAAGTATCCACTTTTCCTTAAGAAGTTGAATAACCACTTGTATCTTGTTTCCTGGGCTGCAAAGCCCCACCCGAGGCTAAGGCTCACGCACAGCCTTCACAGCTCAGGGCGCAGAACGGGAAACGGTGCCCAGCCGTCCCCCCCTGCGTCCCGAGCACCACCGAGCGGTCCGACTGCGGGCGCCCCGCTGCGGGCACACGTGTGGGCCTGGGGGCCGGCCCCTGCCGTGCCCCTTTGCGGCAGCTGACGCTCTGCCTCTTGGGCAACAAGCCCCCACATCAAGGGGGCAGGGCAGCCGCCCTTCCACGAGGGGCGCCTCGGGGAATGTGCTCTGTGACCGAGACGCCCGAGGCACAGGCTCTACCGCCGCTCTCCGGAGCTGGCCACAGGGGCACAGAGTCTGCAAAGGAAGAGCTGTGCCGCGTGGGGGGTCTCGCACGCCCCTCACGCCCTGCTGCCACACCTGCAGCCCCGCCGCCCGACCCACGAGCAGACGTGCTGCGCCGAGACCTGCCCAGCCGCCGGCGTGTCAAACCCTCGCGGTGACCCCTCACACAGATGGCGCCCCACGGACCTCCCCGAGGAGCCCGAGGTGCGGGGGTGGGGGGGCAGCCTGGCTGTGGTTGCTTGGCCCTCCCCGGTCCTGCAGCCCCTGCTGAGGGCGCCCGTGCCGACAGGCGCTGCACAAGCTCAGCTTCCCAAAGGGCAGGACGCCCGACGTGGGCAGCCCACTGGGACCCGTCGCTTCTGCACGGGGAGACTTCAGAGCGCAAGACACGCCGGCCACTGAGACGGGGAGAGGCTGCGGGAGTGACTGTGCTGGCCCCCCGGGACCTCCGGAGGCTCCGAGCCGACGCAGCGAGGCTGCAGCAGCTGAGCGGCCCCTGCCATCACCAGTGTGTCCCTGAAACCGAGCGCCGGGGTCCCCCTCATTTCTGGGGAATGAGAGGCATCATGCCCCCATCCACGCGGTTCTACCCTCTCCGCGGTCACATGCTCTTCCTTCCTAGGTGTTCACTGGAAAACCGTGGCACAAAGGGTTGGTTGGGCATAACATTTTCAACCACAAACATTTTGTGAAAAGAAGTTTAAAATTCTATCAATTAGCCAAAACAGGAAGCACAAACAACGATAACTTCGATTCAACTGCTTTGATCTGTGCTGTCATCAACCTCGTCGTCGTCGGGGACGGCAGCCCTGTCGCGTTCACTCCTGACAAAGTGTAGCCGCAAGGGCCGTCTCCCAGCTGAGCGGCAGGAGCCCGGAACGCTCTCTTTTGTGAGCCGGGAGCAGGCACCTGCCACGCACTCGGAGACATCCGGACACGTGACGGTCGAGTGCTGTGAGGAATCAAATGAAATGCGCCGCGAAACCGCCCGCGCCAGGAGCTCCGCGCCTTACCTGCGTGCAGGTAAGCCAGGTCGGGGTTCTCGATGTCGGGGTGCTGCTCCTTCAGGTGGTTCCGGAACTCCACGGGGACGTTGGTGCCGTAGTCGCACTTGGGGCAGTTGTACATCTTGACGCCCTCGTGCTTGCCGGTGTGCAGGATGTGCTTGCGGATGTTCTCGGCGCAGTTCGACCTGCGGGCGTGCGTGCACAGACACAGACGCGTGAAAATGTGCTGCAGCTTCTCCCAGCTGAAGCTTTGCAAAGGTACGGCGCTCGAAGTCAAAGTCTTGGTGCGCCAAAAACACGTTTCACAATGCTTCTGAGGGGCCGGGCCGGGACCTGGTTTTACCTGGGACGGTCTAACTGCGCCCAAGGGAAACCAGAAAGGCCAGACTCCGAGGGCCAGCGGCCCACCCCCTGCGCACTCGCAGGGAAGCGCAGCGCCTCGGCGCCCAGGCCTGACCGCAGGCAGGCTGCTCGCAGGGTCACACTGTCCCCGCCCACCGCCCACCGGGGGCGGGGAGGGGCTGCGGCAACACCCTGCCAGTGGAGGACGGGCCTGTGGGCGTGCGGCTTCGGATGAGCCTTACTTCCTGGCCCCTCAGTCAAGCAATTCCGCCACACGGCCAGAGGCAGGGGCTTCCCCCCCTTTCACAGCCTTCTGGAAGGATCCTTCCCCAGCTCTGATGCTGTTCCTTCCAAAGCTGTCTGAGTGTGTATTTACTCGGTAGTACATTTAAAATGCATGCTTTACTAATGTTATTCAATTAAGTCCTGTCGAGGAGCATTTACACCTTTTGTAATTCTAAACTTTATGACTGCTTTTGAGGAAAAAGTAAATAGGCAAGAGCCACTCGCGATGAGCAAGCCCTGAATGGATTTCCTGACGACGCCTGTTTCTGCAGCGCTGCTCGCACAGTCCACTTAAAGCCAACAGCCGGCCCGCTCCAGTCCCCGCGCGCACGCTCCCTTTGTCCCCGGCGCGCCTCTCAAACGTCTCACTTTAAAGGAATATATAGTGCGCCCGCACGGCGCCGGCCCATTTCTATTCTCTCCCACTCCTGCGGGCCCTTGTTCCCGGCGATAAGGCAATCTCCTCCGGGATCGGAGCGCCGTGCTCGCGCTCCACGAGTGACAAGGACTCGACGTGAGTAACTGCTGTGCACAGGTTGTAATTATGTCAGCTGGAGTGTTGAACAAGGGGGCTGATTAATGGGCGCCCCGGCCCCAGCACCGGCCCGGCAACCCTCGGCGCGGGCCGGCCGTGCGGCGGCGAAAGCCGAGAGACAGAACGTGCCGGGGTGCCGTGATGGATGAATCGCTCCCACAGTCTTCAGGCAGATGTTCCGGGACAGCATAATATACAATTACTCTGCCTTATCACTTTCCCAGGGACAATAAAGCTTCCTCCTCCCATAGCTCATGCGAGTGAAGGCGAAATTCGTTTCACTTTTACAACACCGACTCACTTATCACGGGGCCCGGGCGTGCTCGCACGGCGACAGGAAACACACACCCCACCTCTGCACCCGGAGGGCTCAGGAACAGCCGGGGGGCCGTCTGCGGGCTCCCCCCCCCCCCACCCAGAGCACACGACCTGCGCTGCGGGAGACGGCTGGGCCGGAAGGGGCGTGTGGGCATGTGCAGCTCCAAGCGAGTCCCCCTGAGCCCGGGGGTGGCATCTGGACTGCAGAGTCCCTGCACTCCCAGCATTTCCCAAGGCCGCCCGGAAGCCATTCCCGAACAGGAACGTGCTGTCGACACACGCGCACGCTGACACACCCACGTGCTTCCCAGGCGTGGGCGCCCGGGCCCCTTCCTGCCACTCCTGCTCGGGGGGGCTCTGGGCCCCGTTCCTTCAGAAAGTCTCGCCAGCCTGGGGACAGAGGAGGCCTCGGTCGGCCACGCAGTGACACCCTGTGACACCCTGCGGGTGACGCTCACACCGCCCTGCGGAGCGGGTGGCCACCCCCACCACCCTTACAGAAAGGAGGCCAGAGGTCTGTGGCCAGAAGACAGAGCAACCGCACTGTGCAGTGGGGAGCGCACTCTCGAGACCCGACGCCGACACCGAACACCGAGACGCAGCCACGGCCGCCTTACGGTGACCGCGATTCAGGACGGAACGAGGCAGTGAAAACGCCCACGGAAGCCCAGGAGGACGCGACGGAATGCGGGCGCCACACCAGACGTGCACCCCCCCTCCCCCCGCACGGCCGCACGACTCCCTCCAGGGCTCCCTTGGGGACGCCAAACACAGACCCCGCCCCATCTCCCCGGAGGAGGGACCCGTCTGCCGTCTCTCCCCGCCTCTGTGCACAGGCCGCTGTGACCCCGGGGCCCTCCCGACTCGAGTCTTGGCAGCGCCCCCAGCAGAGCCTCAGGCCTCTAGAGACCGGGCGACCGGGAGGTGGCAGGGGTCAGTGCACAGCAGCCCGCCCAGAGTCGCAGCGCCCACGGCCAGAGAGGAAATGTGGTGAGGCCCACGGCCGGCGAGAGAGTTATGCCGTGTTTACACGCCCTTGGAGGAGGCCAGCCGAGGCAAGGCAGGTGAGCAGAGGGAGGGGCCGTGAGTGTCGGCGGGGGCCGGGTGTCACCACAATAAAAACGGCTGGTGATGTCACTGCAGGGGCCTGTCAGATTTACTGGCCTTAGAAAAGCCCCGAGACATTAGCAAAAACCGTCCGGAATAAGTCATCGAAAAGATGTCACATGTTAAAAGACCACATTTGCAATGAGTGTGTGCTCAGTGACCACACGGAGCTGCTGGCCAGCGCCACGCCAGCGTCTGAATTACGTGTGACAGTTAGAGTAACGGGGCGTTCTGCGGGAATTCTCTGTGGAAGCCAATAAAAGCCCAACGTGGGGCGTCTGCGGCAGGGAGGGCAGGGCAGTGCCGTGACACGTCTCCATGTCCTTGAGGGAGGACTCTGCGCAGGACAAAGGGGAAGCCTGGCGCTGGGCGAGTCCCGCCGGCGCCGCTGCGGTCCGGAAGGACTTGGCGGTTCTGCGGCCCCGGCCCCAGGCTCCCAGCTGCACAGGGACCCCGTGGAGAGAACCCCGAGGTGCCACTCGTTCCGGGCACGTCTGCAGGGCCCGGTGGGGCCCTCGCAACCCCCCGGGCGCCCCTCACACCACCCCGTCTTCCCGCCGGGAGGCCCGACTGCCGGCCCTCTGGCCGCCCCAGGCAGGCCTTCGCCGGGCACCAGGAGAGCAGCTTGCAGCAAGCGAGGAAGACGACAGCCACGTGCGTCCTGGGCCTACGGGCTCTGCTGCTCCTGCCATCGCCCGCGGGTCCCCCGGGGCCAAGGCCCCCCAGACCAGCCAAAGGGCACTCTGGCCGCTCTTCCCCTGGGCCCCAGCCCCGTTCCCATCAGGTCGCTCTTCGCTGGGTCTGCAAGTGACCTGCCACCCTGTGGGTCCCTGTGGGGCCCACCCTCGGCACGCTACCAGTGCTCTCCTCCAAGTGACATGTGAGCCAGGATTCAAGCTTCCTGCATAAACTCCTCCACAGGCCCCCACCCGGGCCTCGGGGGCAGGCGAGCCCCTGGCCACACAGTGCCCCAGGCCCCCGGCCCTCGGGGGGGGGGGGGGTGACTCACGGTCGAGGGGACAGTGCACTGCGGGAGCACCGAGGGGGAAGGCAGCTTCCTTTTAAATAAGGTGAAAGCTGTCGAGTTTTTACATCAAAACAAATTCTCAAGTTTAAGTGCCAACTGCTCTTTATAACAAATAATTCAACCTGAGAGATTGACTGATTTAAGCACAAACACTAAATATTTACATTTTCTCTCAAAGGGAAAAATCTGATTGTTTAGTGACATTTCACAGATGTGTTACAAGTTGTCATCGACGGTGAAGAGAGAAAACACACTGAGGAAAGGAAGGACAGAGCAGAGCTAACAAAGGTGATGGACACAGCCCCCAAGTGTGTCTCGGGGGATGCCCACACGGTGTCACAGCTGACGGAGACGACACTCAGCCACGGCCCGGGCTGTTCGGCAAGATTCACGCCGAACGAGCCACGAGCACGGAGTCAAAACGTGGCGGGTGGAAGAGGTGGGGGCGGGAGGTCGAGACTCCCCGTGGGGACAATTACCGGGTTGCGACGTTATGATGTCATCGAACAGCAAATCTAGTGGACCGCAACTGCAGCTCACCGTGGCTCTGCAGCGAGAGACAACACAGACCTTCCCCGAGAGGAAGAAAGTCGGGCGCGCCTCTCGCCGGGTGAGGTTCTCGGAAGAGGGCGTTTCTCACGGACAGACAGAAGCCGGCGCTGAGCGTGCGCCAGGCGCACCTCCCCCCCCCCCCCCCAGAGAACGGAGACGTGCCCCCCCTGCAGGAGAGGGGACCGTCCCCCGCAGACACCCGCTCTCGGGGCAGAGGGGGCGCACACACCTCTGCTGCCCCAGCGACGAGGGGCGCCCGCCCCGAGAAGGGGGCTGGAGGCGCAGGCCGGCGCCGACTGGGAGGCGGCCCTCTTCCGAGCGGTCCAGGCTTCGCCGGCCTCCTTTCCTCCACAACCTCACCGCCCCGGGGAGGCAGCCTTTCAACTTTCAGAAGAGGCTGAAACAAGGGATCTGAGAGCAAAACGAACGGACTAGTATCTTGCACTCTCAGTGAGCCAGTGACAACTGGCCACACGCTTTCATTCACTGCAAAGCCACTGTATCCCGCGCTGCCGTCTCACGGCCGCGTCTCAGCCGGCGCGCTCGCTCACGCGCCGCAGGGCGCGCCTGACTCCGCACGGGCCGCTGCCGGCCCTCCCGGCGGCTCCGAGTTTCCTAACAAGCCAGGGCGCAGGGGCCTCCGGTGCTGGCAGATATAGATAGTTACATAGGAAAGTGTTTTGTTGTGTGATAATAGCTCTGGTGTCTGAGGAATAACTTATTATGCAAGAGACTATTGCCCCAAAAATATTTTCTATTTTTTCCATCTCTAAGGCTTTTCCTTCAAACACAATACATACAGATATATCTAACTACCACCCGAGGGACTGTCCGTAGCAATTCCTTGTAGAAAGACCATCCCCAAAGATAGTCTGGGTCCTTGTGGGGCGGCTGGATTTGGGACTCGGCACCGGCAGGTGGCATAAACATGTTTATCCAGATTCTACTTTAGGAGACAGCAGAGGGAGCGTGTGGTCACTCCGGGTTCAAGTGGCTCCTCTAATTAACCCGCGGTCCCA